GAGAGAGAGAGAGTGAGGGGGAGGGAGAGGGGAGGGAGAGATCATGATGGAGTTATTTGCGAAGCATATTTCATCGTATTTATGTTTTCAAAACATCTTGATATTATGCTGACGGACCTTGTCAGCATTGATTTCCTTGGCTTGCCTTTACTCTATAATAAAAACAGTAAAATTATTTTTAGAAGACTTTCGATTTGCAGCCTAATCTTGACACAGGACAAATTTTTCAAGACAAATTTCGAACGGAAATGAAAAGAAAAGAATGGAATACCCAAGAGTGATTTTTCTTTTGTGTTTCCTTTCTTTTCGATCCTCCTTCGGTCGTCCTTAAGTTTTACAACGGATCACATGTCGTGCATATTTTGCATAGTCAATGGTTAGAAAACCCCTAGTTCCGGACCCTTTGGATCTGAGATAGGCGTATACGATACACATAGTAAAGGAAATCGCGCCAGACTCGTTGCCGATTAATCCGCGCCGACAATCTCTCGACAACATTGTATTTTTCGCGACGTTGTTGATTAATATTCAACATTCGCTGACCGGTCCATTTAATAATAGTATTGTCCCAGCGTGGCATTCGCACGTCGATATCTCTTATTTACGCAACAACACGCGCGCCTCACGGGCGACAAAGTCCAAGAGAGGACTCGCCGCATTGTTGTTGACTCTTCCGCGCGAATCACAGGCATTATCATACCGTTCGGTGAATAATTGCCGACCGTTTATATATCGTTGTTATGCACGCCGCAGCATCCCGAAGACCTTTTTCCTTTTTTTTCTCCTACTCTCTGTCTTTCTCGTCGTGGAAATGTCCGGCTCGATATATCGCATTGCGCTGATGTTTCCCCCTGCCGGTGGCCTTCCACGTAGGTCTAAAAACTAGATAAAAAGTGGAAAACAGTGAGCTGGTATTTCCGACCAGAAAACCGATGGATCGGCTGTATAGTTCAAGTGTTTTGTTTGACATTATCTAAAATCTCCTTTGTATGTACATATTTGTTTAGGAGCACGAGAATATGACGATTTTATGTTTTGTTTTCGAAAACAAAACATAAAATTTTAAAATAGTATTTTAAACAGAGCTGAAAGCTTCAGTTATATCAGTATATGTATAATGTCTCTGTATTCGAGGTCAATCACTCGAGAGATAAATGGAAACTCAAAAACAAGAAAGAAAGTTGATATGAACGTAGGTTCAAAAATGTGTTGTTTTCGAATTATCACTATTTTTAAACATTAAAAATTAAAATGCTTTGCTTTCGAATTTGTTATCAAAATTGAAAGAAGATATGTCAATATGAGTTTTGTAACGTAATTAAAATTAAATTAAAGTTGCGGCGGATGTTTTAACTACTCAGAATGCAACTATGAAATTTTGATCTCTGTCAAGAGATACTACGTGGGCTATATCTCCACGTGGTGCATCCATGTAATGTAATACT